GACGAGGAGAAAACCGGCACTTGTCCACCAGGCCTGCGAAGTGCTCCTCCGACATTCCTTCAGTTCTGTAAAGCCTTTAATCCCCATTGTGTGCCGCCTTGTGTAATGGCGTCTCCGGTTCCCAGGGGGGGGGGATCCGATGTTCCCTCTACCTGCCTGAGGTCACATGCAAAAGGAAACACGGCTTCCAGGCAGCCTTTGATCTTTCCCCCCGACCGCCATACCTCCCCTCCCCTCCCAGCCCCCCCCCTCCATACCCGACCGCCATACCTCCCCTTCCCAGCCCCCCCCCCCCCCCCGACCGCCATACCTCCCTTCTCCCAGCCCCCCCCCCCCCCCACCCCCCCCGACCGCCATACCTCCCTTCCCAGCCCCCGTACCCGACCGCCTACCCTCCCCCCCCCCACCGCCATGCCTACCCCCGTCCTACCCCCTTCCCGCCGACCCCCCACCCCCCCCAACCCCAGCCCCCCCCCCCCCCGACCGCCATACCTCCCTTCTGCCCCCCCCCCCCCCGTCCCCAGGACCGCCATACCTTCCCCCCCCCACCCACCCACCGTACCTACCTCCTACCTCCCCCCCGACCGCCATGCCTTCCCCCGACCGCCATACCTAACCCTTCCCAGCCCCCCCCCCCCCGACCGCCGTATATACTACCTCCCTTTCCCCCCCCCCCCTTCCCACCCACCGTACCTACCTCCTACCCCCCGTACCCCCCCCAACCGCCATGCCTTCCCCCAACCGCCATACCTCCTCCTTCCCCCCCCCCCCCCCCCCCGACCCGCCATACCTCCCTTTCCCCCCCCACCCCTTCCCACCCACCGTACCTTCCTCCTACCCCCCCCCCCCCGACCGCCATACCTCCCCCCGACCGCCTTACCTAACTCCCCCCCCCCCCCCAACCACACCATACCGCTGTACCTACCTTCCCCTCCCCCCTACCGCCGTACAGTCTAACTCCTCCCCCCCTCTCCCCCCGTACCTACCTCCTCCTCTACAGAGTTACAATGTACAGTCTGATCACTGGGGGAGGAGACTGAGGAAACACCTCCTCCTGCCTGCAGCAGACTGGCGACATCTCAGCCTAGGCGCCTTTTCTCGTCATTTTTAGTATTTTTCATCAGTTGTGAATATTTTGTCATTTTTTTTTTTTTATAGATTTTTTTTTTTTTTTTTTTTGTGGCAGATGATAGTTGTCGTGTTTTGTGAATTGGGTTGTCGGCGGTGGAGCGCAGGTCCGGTGGGCACTCCTTTATGGCTGCGATGTGATTGGTGCGTCACCGGTTTCCTGCGCTCAGATCCCGCATCTCTCCGCTCCTCTGTTCCCATTCCTCCTTTGTCCCCGCAGCGCCCCCCCCAGGGACAGAGTGGTCTGTGATTGGTGTGATGATTGATGGGGGCTCTGTGGTCTGTCCCTGGAGATAAGGGCGGCTTTTGTCCTCTGGGGGCATCGGTGAGGACGGGTCACATGACCACCATTATCTTTATGGGGAAAAATCTCCTGTATACAGCTGGAGTGTAACCTGCTTCTGTTCTCCCCCCCCCCATCCCCCCCCCTCCTCCTCTCACCCCCCCCCCCCTCCCCCCCCCCCCCCCCCCACCTCATATACAGACCAATGACTCCTAAACAGAACCTTTCCATTTTCGCTACATTCCTTATGAGGTCATCACTAGATCTCTGTGCTTCTCTAAGCAATGCAGGCACATCATGGCTGGTGGGAGTGGCTTCCTGAAAACATCACAGCACCCCGCCTCAATGCTTCTCTCGGGTCCTCATCACTGATGCTAGCAGTGGGAGAAGTTATGCAAATATCAAAATGCTTTGATGGGCTGGTGTCAGTCTGGGGGGGTGGGCGTTCCTAGGCGGGCTGTATTTCAGTAGGTAACGCCCACATGTGATGCGGAGAACCCACGATTGACAGGACTGAAATCCAATGACTGAAAGGGGCGGGGCCAGGTACAGTCAGGGTGGGGAGGAAAGAGCTAGACCATGCTGGATGTTTTCCAGCCAGGAAATAGGGCGGGCTCTAATGAATGAAAAGGGCGGGGCCAGGGCTGGGGAGGAAAGACCTAGATGATACTGGACATCCTCCAGCCAAAAAATGAGGCGGGCTCTAATGAATGAAAGGGCGGGGCTAGTGGCAGTCAGGCCAGGGAAAAAAAAGTGCTAGATGATGTTGGGTGTCTTCCAACAAGGAAATGAGGCAGGCATTGAAAGGGTTGGGGGCAGTCAGGCCTGTGATGAAAGAGCTAGATGATGCTGGGCGTCCTCCAGCCAAGAAATGAGGCGGTGTTTGGTCACGGACCTGACTGCTCAGTGTCCTCCTGTCACCTGGACGCCATTCTAGACTGACAGCACTGTGCGGTGGGGGCGGCGGGAAGCTGATATGAGGACGGATTGGGGTGGCGGTAATAGCTGGGCTCAGTCTGATGGCAGGATCAGGGCGGAGATCGGCACAGCGGGACATCAGGGGGTTAATCTCCGCCTCCTTCTCTCCTCACTGTGTCAATATCCGAAGGTAAATATTCCGGGTGCCAGGAAACCTCCTGAGACCGAGAGAGCGCATGAAACTCCCATGGGGCGCACCGAAACTGTGCCTGAGCCAGGCAACCTTCTGCCAGGTACACCATGCTGGGACTTGTAGTTCTACACCAGGCAGGCAGGGGGCGCCCCAGCTGTCTGTCCTCTCCACTAAGTGCCCCGCCTCAGTCTCCCCTCCCCCAGTGATCAGACTGTACATTGTAACTTTGTAGAAGGAGGAGGAGGCGTTTCCTCAGTCTCCCCTCCCCCAGTGATCAGACTGTACATTGTAACTTTGTAGAAGGAGGAGGAGGCGTTTCCTCATCTCTCCCCTCCCCCAGTGATCAGACTGTACATTGTAACTTTGTAGAAGGAGGAGGAGGCGTTTCCTCAGTCTCCCCTCCCCCAGTGATCAGACTGTACATTGTAACTTTGTAGAAGGAGGAGGAGGCGTTTCCTCAGTCTCCCCTCCCCCAGTGATCAGACTGTACATTGTATAGCAGGGGCTGATCTGTGTCAGACATTTGTGAACACTGCACAGACTCGTATGAAATGCCCCCTGATTGGCCCCTGGCAGGGATCCGTGTGTGGGACTCTGGGGCCCCACGCTCCTTCCCGGCACTGTTGACATTGGAGGATATCTCCATCGGAAGGCAATGATTAATCCGGTCACCTGGGCCGCGGTGGGAGGGAATTCGGCACTCACTTCCTGTATCGGGTCCGGAGGTGAGCGAGTCGGTTTAATGATCGACTGGCCCTCCGTGTTCAGGAACTGCCCCGCCCCCCAGCTGCCAGGTCTGGGTGGAGGTGTGAGGGGGCCGATCTCTGGGAGCGCCGGGGACACGGACAGCAGGTGCGGCGGCATTGCTCAGGTGACGTACTTCACATGACGGCCGGACTTGCTCCCCGCCCCCCCCCCCCCCCCCCCCCCCCAATCAACACGCTAATAACATTTTAAATCGTTCCATTGTCATTGCCTATCGTATTTTACATCCGGTGATGTCCTCACTGGGTCTCTGTGCTTCTCTATGCAATGCAGGCAGATCATGGCTGGTGGGAGGGGCAGGCAGGAGGGGGCTGTACATAGTTTCCTGAAAACATCCCAGTACCCGGCCTCAGTAGGAGGAGGAGTTAAGCAAATATCAAAATGCCTTGTTGGGTGGGTGTCGGTCTGGAGTAGTGGGCGGTCCTAAGCTGTATTTTCATAGGTGACGCCCACATATGATGAGCCTCCATGATTGAACTGAAATGCAATGAATTAAAGGGGCGTGGGCCAGGGACAGTCAGGCCGGGGAGGAAAGAACTACATGATGCTGGACGTCCTCCAGCCAGGAAATGGGGCGGAGCTCTATCTGAGTGGCTGCAGCTTCTAATGCACATTGTGAGAAGCTCCCAGTGTGCGGCGACATCAGAGGAAGCTGATTCAGTCCAGGAGGAGGAGCCGGGACGCCTGTGCCAGGCTGGGGGGGGGAGGAGCCGGGACGCCTGTGCCAGGCTGGGGGGGGGGAGGAGCCGGGACGCCTGTGCCAGGCTGGGGGGGGGAGGAGCCGGGACGCCTGTGCCAGGCTGGGGGGGGGAGGAGCCGGGACGCCTGTGCCAGGCTGGGGGGGGGAGGAGCCGGGACGCCTGTGCCAGGCTGGGGGGGGGGGGAGCCGGGACGCCTGTGCCAGGCTGGGGGGGGGGGGGAGGAGCCGGGACGCCTGTGCCAGGCTGGGGGGGGAGGAGCCGGGACGCCTGTGCCAGGCTGGGGGGGGGGAGCCGGGACGCCTGTGCCAGGCTGGGGGGGAGGAGCCAGGACGCCTGTGCCAGACTGGGGGGGAGGAGCTGGTACACTCGGAGGATGGGGGAGGGTTTCCTGACTGCTGAGATAAGCTCAGTTGGCCTCATAGGGAGTCTAGCAGTGAAGCGCACATGGCGCCCCGTATATCACCTCATACCTCGTGCTCATTCGATATTTCTTGCTTAGTATTACAAGTTGAACTCTCCCAGAATTCCCAGGTTAGGATCGGGTCCTGCGCGGCGCGCTCAGGAATGTCACCCATTGTCTGTTACAGAGCGGCAGAAATATGTCACCCGTCCAGTTATTGCCTATACACCTGTTAGGGGGTGGCTGTGGGCAGGGCTATTCTTGGCCCCTGGGCGGGGCTATTCTTGGCCCCCAGGGCAGGCCGAGCAAACAGCTTTTATTTCAGATCGTTCCGGTATTCCAAGTATTTGGTGGGAGAAGCCGATTTACTCGTATTACGTCCCGACCTCATCGCCACCGCAATCTTCCTGTATGTGTGACCGGTGTCCTGGATACCGGGGGGGGGGGGGGGGGGGGGGGTGATAATAAAAATGGATGGTACAAGTCTAGGTGGAGTCTGTGCCCCTCCCACAATGGGGAGATTCCTATAGTAGTTTGTGTCTCTGCCCCTCCCACAATGGGGAGATTCCTATAGTAGTTTGTGTCTCTGCCCCTCCCACAATGGGGAGATTTCCCCCCAGTAGTTTGTGTCTCTGCCCCTCCCACAATGGGGATATTTCCCCCCAGTAGTTTGTGTCTCTGCCCCTCCCACAATGGGGAGATTTCCTCCCAGTAGTTTGTGTCTCTGCCCCTCCTACAATGGGGAGATTTCTCTCCAGTAGTGTGTCTCTGCCCCTCCCACAATGGGGAGATTTCCTCCCAGTAGTTTGTGTCTCTGCCCCTCCCACAATGGGGAGATTTCTCTCCAGTAGTTTGTGTCTCTGCCCCTCCCACAATGGGGAGATTTCTCTCCAGTAGTTTGTGTCTCTGCCCCTCCCACAATGTAGTGTCTCTGCCCCTCCCACAATGGGGAGATTTCCTGCAGTAGTTTGTGTCTCTGCCCCTCCCACAATGTAGTTTGTGTCTCTGCCCCTCCCACAATGTAGTTTGTGTCTCTGCCCCTCCCACAATGTAGTTTGTGTCTCTGCCCCTCCCACAATGTAGTTTGTGTCTCTGCCCCTCCCACAATACGATTTCCCCCTAGTAAGTTGTCTCTGCCCCTCCCACAATGGGGAGATTTCCCCTCCAGTAGTTTGTGTCTCTGCCCCTCCCACAATGTAGTTTGTGTCTCTGCCCTCCCACAATGTAGTTTGTGTCTCTGCCCCTCCCACAATGTAGTTTGTGTCTCTGCCCCTCCCACAATGTAGTTTGTGTCTCTGCCCCTCCCACAATACGATTTCCCCCTAGTAAGTTGTCGCTCTGCCCCTCCCACAATGCAGTTGGCCAGGACAGGGAAGTCCGGTGGACTTTGACTCCTTGAGATCTGCAGTGATTTGGGTTTCGGGTCAATGACCAGACGTGGAGTTTTGTGGCCCTCGTGGTACGCCGGGGGTTCCGATTTTCACCGTTTTTCTTGTCTTTCTGTTTTTCAGAAGAGTCCATTGAATGGAAAGACGTATTGATGGAGACATGGCTGACCAGCACATGCCAGTGGGTCAGGGGGTCCAAATCCGGTTCATCGATGACTTGAAGGAGAACCACAAGCCGCGGAGGGGACGGTCCAAGCAGGAGTCCTACGGGGTGGCCATCCGCGTCCAGGGGATCGATGGGCAACCTTTCGTGGTGCTGAACAGCGGAGACAAAGCCAAGTCTTCCTACGGCGTGCAGATCAAAACCGACAACAGCTATGGAAACACGTCCCCGAACCCCCCGCCCGACTACCAGGGAATGGCCACCAAGGCCAGTCACACGGTCCGGTCCATCAACTCCGACCTGGACATGCCAGAAAATCCCTACGAGGTGAAGGGCTTCAGACCGGCCGGATCGCAGTACAGCAGCACGTCCGACGAAGAGCAGAACGCCAAGCCTCGCAGCAAGCCCCGGGCCCTGCAGCCTGCGCGGAAGGAGGAGCTTAGGAGATCCCAGTCACATGGCTCCTTACTGGACCATGAATTGGAAGACTCATGCGGCTATGACGGACACTACAGCGAGCGGTCCTCCACCCTGGACACAACGTACTCTCAGTCTTCCAGCAGTCGCGGCAGTCTGAAGAAGCTCAATAATGGCGAATACTCGACCAGAGGCGGGTTCAAACCAGCAACGAGCCAACAGCCTACCTCCTTTTCCAGCAGATCTTCTCAACAGAGGAAGGACGGGCCTTCGCTCTCTTCACCAAAGCTGCCGAGCGGGGGACATCGACACCAAACCCCTCTCCTCCGTCGACTCGCTCATCAATAAATTCGACAGCAAGATCCAGGTACGGGGGAGAACGGGGCGCCGTAGTCAGGTTCTGAAAGACGACCGGAAACGGTCGCAGAGCCTGGACGGGCGGAAGTATCACCAAGACATCGCCGATTCTCGGGAGATCCAGACCGTGGAGAGGAAAGTACAGCCGGAGAGTCGGCCGTTCACCAGGCAACCGCCGGAGAGGGAGGGCGTCAACCCGGACCCGACTGACCAAAGAGTGGCTGGACCAAACCATGGAGGAACCGGTGACCCAAAGACAGCAGAGGACGGCCCAGGCGGAAATGCAGGTAACTTCCATGTCTTGTGTCTGGGAACAAAATTCTCCAACCCAGAGGGAGGAAAAAACGATCGAAGAAACAAAATTGGGTCGAGTTAAATAAGAGCCACTCTAGATAAACAATCGAAGACTAGAGGTGTTTGGACCCTAAATCTAATCTATCAAAAATTCTCTCTCTCCGTATTGACTCGAAGGCAGGGGTCTCCAAACGTCTAAGAGGGGTCAGTTTGCCATTCTTCAGACTTTAGGCGGGCCAGGATTTACTGGTGTCATTGGGAGGAATAGTGCCCCACCATTGGTGTCAGTGGAGGATTAGTGCCCATCGTTGGTGTCAGTGGGAGGATTAGTGCCCCAGTGCCCCATCGTTGGTGTCAGTGGGAGGATTAGGGTTGGTGTCAGGGGAGGATTAGTGCCCCACCGTTGGTGTCAGTGGGAGGATTAGTGCCCCACGTTGGTGTCAGTTAGGCCCCACCGGAGGGGGAGGATTAGTGCCCCACCGTTGGTGTCAGTGCCCCATCGTTGGTGTCAGTGGGAGGATTAGTGCCCCATCGTTGGTGTCAGTGGGAGGATTAGTGCCCCATCCGTTGGTGTCAGTGGGAGGATTAGGATGTGCCCCACCGTTGGTGTCAGTGGGAGGATTAGTGCCCCACGTTGGTGTCAGTGGGAGGATTAGTGCCCCACGTTGGTGTCAGTGGGAGGATTAGTGCCCCATCGTTGGTGTCAGTGGGAGGATTAGTGCCCCATCGTTGGTGTCAGTGGGAGGATTAGTGCCCCATCCGTTGGTGTCAGTGGGAGGATTAGTGCCCCAGTTGGTGTCAGTGGGAGGATTAGTGCCCCACCGTTTGTGTCAGTGGGAGGATTAGTGCCCCATTGTTGATGTCAGTGGGGGAAGAATAGTGCCCCATAATGACCCATTGTTGGTGTCAGGGAGAGGAATGGTGCCCCATCCAGGTGTCAGGGGGAAAAATAATGACCGATTTGTTGGTGTCGGGGAGGAGGAATAGGTGACCCCCATAGGTGTCGGGGGGAGGAATGGTGCCCCGTCCATAGGTGTCGGGGGAGGAATGGTGCCCCGTCATAGGTGTCGGGGGGAGGAATGGTGCCCCGCCATAGGTGTCGGGGGAGGAATGGTGCCCCGTCCATAGGTGTCGGGGGGAGGAATGGTGCCCCGTCCATAGGTGTCGGGGGGAGGAATGGTGCCCCGTCCATAGGTGTCGGGGGGAGGAAATGGTGCCCCGTCCATAGGTGTCGGGGGGAGGAATGGTGCCCCGTCCATAGGTGTCGGGGGGAGGAATGGTGCCCCGTCCATAGGTGTCGGGGGGAGGAATGGTGCCCCGTCCATAGGTGTCGGGGGGAGGAATGGTGCCCCGTCCATAGGTGTCGGGGGGGGGAATGGTGCCCCGTCCATAGGTGTCGGGAGGGCTGGAAGAATGGTGCCCCGTCCATAGGGGTCGAGGAGGGGAATGGTGCCCCGTCCATAGGTGTCGGGGGGGGGGGGGGAAATGGTGCCCCCGTCCATAGGTGTCGGGGAGGGCTGCAAGAATGGTGCCCCGTCCATAGGTGTCGGGAGGGATCCTAAGGACCAGATAAAGGCAACCAAAGGCTGCATCCAGCCCCTGGACCATAGTTTGAAGACCACTGCTCTAAGAGACCTCCAGATTTTGATATTAGCAGCTACAGGCACCCACCTTCGAACATGATTGGTAGTCAGCTGGGGGTGTTGTATTTGCGCCCACCTCCACCACTACATCACAACTAAGGCACATGATGAGAAGTTGATTTTTGATTGTTGCTGGTTTTTTTCTGATTCTGACTTGGCTGTAACACACTGAAGATGGGGAGTGGCCATCTGTGACTTAAAAATGTATCTATTTCTGATAGAACGGGACCTCTACTCCATGAAAATATCCGGGTTCAACCTGGAGACACTTGGAGTAGTATTCTATTGGCGAGATGGCTCCTAGTAGTTGGTGACATTCAGCTGGACTTGAATGCTGAAGACGTTTTGTAGTTTCTCCAGTTTTGTTTCTAATGAGTGTCAGGAACATCCCCAACATTTTTACCTCCATGGTAGCACTGACACCTTCATCCAATCACCACTCAACCTGTAGACCAGCATTTCTCAACTTTTTTAAGGTGGATGAACCCTGAAATCGGTTTGTGGTCTCAAGGAACCCCCTACCACTAATGCCTATATCTACCGATCACCGTACATCGGTGTGATGAGGAGCACTCTCCTTGGTGACCATTTGTGGTCACTGGGAACATTTCCTTCAGATAGCTAAAAAGATCAGTGTGGGCAGAAATTGCTCAAGGAACTCTAGAGGTTTCCATACAACCGTGGTGAAGATGTTGGTTGTCCAAGAACAGGATGAGAGCTATAAAAGTTGTGGATCCACCCTGTTCTGTCTATTTATATAATCCCATCCTTGGTGCCAGGAAGTCTGCGTAGGTGTTAATTATTTGGTTCACTTTATTGTTAAAAAGGCATATAAATGTGGACAACAGATTCCATCTGCCCCGGTGATTAGTCGACAATTCACGTCTTCAGCCATGTGAATGGGTTCCTGACACCAAGGATGGGATTCTATAATTAGAACAGGGCGGTTCCATAACTCTCATACCTCTCATCCTGTTCTTGGAAATCAGCATCTGCCTTGACACCTTCCATGGTGATTGGATGAAGATGTAAGTGTTTTGGGCTCTCATTAGAACTGAAGCGCCTTGGAGAAGCTACAAAATGTCAAACCTTACAGAAGAAGTCCGGCTGAAAGTGACTACCCAGATATTTTTGGACCACATCAAAAGGCTGCCAGTTGACCCAGAGGACTGGAAAATGGGGATGGATGTACCAAAACAAAAGTATCTAAAAACTTGTACAGATTTATTTATACATTAACTAGTTGCCGACCGCAGATAGCCGAATGACGGCTAAACTGCGGCCGGCCAGTTCTGAGTGGACGTCATATGACGTCCTCCCAGAACGCGCTGGGGCGCGCACCCGGTGATCTCCGTGATCGCTGTGTCCTATGGACACAGCTGATCACGTGATGTGGTAAAAGGCCAATCATACCGGCCTTTTACCACGTGATCAGCGGTGTCCAATGACACGCTGATCACAGGGAAATGCAAGTGCCAGTTCTCGGCTGCACTTTCCTCACGCTGTCAGATCGTGAGGAAAGTACTGCCGAGAACCGGCAGTTGTCAGAGCGGGGATCGGCACCGATCATCAGTGCCCTGATGATCGGTGCCCAGCAATGCCACCCGCAAGTTCCACCCACCTGTGCCCAGCAGTGCACCCACCTGTGCCACTCTGCAGTATCGCACACCTGTGCCCACCCACCTGTGCCCACCACACTGTGCCCACCCACCTGTGCCCACCCACCAGTGCAGCCCAGCAGTGCTGCCAGTCAGTGCCACCAGTCAGTGCCCAGGGGTTGTGCCAGTCCGCCAGTCAGTGCCCAGCAGTGATGCCAGTCAGTGCCGTCTATCAGTACCCATCATCAGTGTCGCCTATCAGTGCTGCATATTAGTGCCGCCTATACGTGCCACCTCATTAGTGCCGCCTATCAGTGC